GGGCCCTCACACAGTAGTTTTCCTGTATCCAAACAAGGTGAGTGATGATATGTATCTGGTCAACATCAACCCAGCTAGGCATTCTTACCTGATGAGTAGTTAACATTTCAGAATGTTCTTTGGTAAAGTAGAAAGTATTATGGAGGTAATTTTGAGGGGTTTGTAGATCCTTTAGGTGTCCTGACTTTTCACTGGAATAAGATAAGTATTAATGCAGGTAAACTTATTACTTGATACAGATGGAGATCAATTGTATTTCAGGGTTTCCTACCCTGGCACTGGTTCCTGTGAAGGTTTCTTCTAATGGCTTTCTGCTCTGGCAAGTTGTTTCTCTCTATTTACCTTTTTGTCTGTCCAGAGAGATTTGAACACCATCAGCATAACTGGTAATACACTGGATATAATGATTGACTCTCCAGTGTTTGGATAGTCAGGAACTTTAAGACATTTTTGGGGGTAACAGTGATTAGTGCAGATAGGCAGTGATGCAAATACAGTCTTCCCTGTTATCTCCAGTGATGGTGTCTAAAAGAGAACATCAGTTTCTTCAATAAGACTAAATGACAGTAATTATCCCCTGAGGCATATTGGGGTCCTATGCTGCTAATGTATGTTGAGGCCATCACCATGGTCCTTACATGTATGCCTGCCCACTTGGCCACTACCTCTATGGAAAGTCACTTGTTTGTACATAAAGCCACCAAAACTACTTGCTAAGGTGAAAACACCATGTAATCAGTTTAATCCTCTCTCCCTGGCAGCAGCAATATAACTTACATATCTTAACATGATACTTTACCAACCTTTTCACAGACACTGATGTCTACCAGATACCTCAGTCACTCCTTTTATACAGATTCTGTTCTTCTATTTCTCAGTGATCCTGGCTGGTGCACTAATTGTTGCAGTGTTTTTATTGCCCAGGATTGAATAAATTGGCAAATAAGACGCTAGAATAGTGACAGAGGAAAAATACCAACTTTATTATACAGAAAGGCTAGATTAGAGAATGTTGCTTAGTAATAAATGGGCTTGTTAACTCAAATACTGGAGTTTGACCAGTGAACCAAGTCATCATCCACTAGGCTGGACCACAGTGTCCTGCAAATGTAGAAGTAGGTGCTTGCTCCCTGTGGACAGTTTGTTCCCAAGGGGAAAAAGGACAGAGATGAGCTGAACATGTTCAGCTTATTAAATACAAACTAATCAGTACAGAGACCAGGAGAAGGAAGGAGTAGTAGAGAAGAAGCATTGCTTGTCCATGTCTGTATGTATTTTCTTGATTTATCCCTTTTAGACCATCTGTGCAGTTTCCTTGCTATGGAAGATAAAATTTAGCTCACTTATCCTGCCCTGTCTCTTAGCTCCTCACTGTCTCAAGATAATTCTGTTATGATTATGATTAAATAAGTATTCAGTATTTATATTTAATAATTATATACCTACTTCTTTTCCCTCAGGAATTTTGTGTTTATTGGAATTAATAATATGTCTTTTTGTCCTCATTTAGTTTACTTAGTTTTTATAGTCTTAACACTGATGGAGCCCAAAGCTTTTCCCTGGTTGCCTTAATTTATTTGTATGTAGATACATCATCAAATTTATCTTCTTAAAGCAGATTTGCCTGGGATAGTCTAAAGGCTTCAGTCTGGTCTGAACTTCTTTTATATAAGTATTCTTGCATTACTGGTCATATTAGTATCTTACCTTCATCATTATTCTTGAGGTTTTCTTCATCTTGCTGTCCTATTAGATGTCCTGTTTCCTAGATGTCATGTCTTCTTTCTTTTGGTGTAGTCTCATGTTTTATAAAGCACGGATTCTAATAGCTTCATGATAGAGAATATATGAAAAATCTTTTGAGAACTTACATGTCTGAAAATGTCTCTATTCTACCCTCACACTTAATTCATAGTCTGAATCCTGAGTATTGAATTCTAGGTATGAAATGATTTTCCTTCAGAATTTGATGGCATTGCACTGCTGGTTTCTTTCAGTGTTGTCATTAAGAAGTTGATGAAGTCTGTAAAATATTTTTTTAATACCCACAATTCTGAAATTTTATGATGATTTGCCTTGGCATAGGTCTTCTTTTTGTCATTTAGCTGGACATGAGTGAGCCCTTTTAGTCTGGAAGCCATATCCTTTCTTTTTCCTTTCTTTCCTTTTTTTTTTTTGCAGGGGGACAAATTAGGTTATTCATTTTTCTAATGGAGGTACTGAGGATTGAACCCAGGACCTCAGGCATGCCAGGCATACACTCTACCACTGAGCTATACCCTTGCTTCCCCATATCCTTTCATCCTGGAACATTTTATAGGATTATTATTTTTTTTAATTGCTCTATTTTCACTGTATAAACTTTCATGTCATCCCCACATTTTCAGCAGTGTGCTTCTGCTCTCAGCTGTACTTGGCATACCCCAGTCTGGAGACACTATGTTTTACTCCCCTCGGAGAGCTCCAGTGTTTTGGTAGTGTGGGACAGTGGGCAAGGGCAGGCTGTGCAGTAATGGGGAGGTGATCTGAGTGGTTAACTGCTTCTTAAGTTGACTTTAAAGAATCCTGATGTTTTTAACACCAACCTCACCCTCACTGCCAGACAGATGTAAGCTTATTGGAAGTTCTGTAGTGATTATCAAATTGCTCTTCTACTTTCTTCACTGTTGGCTTTGGATTCCTCTTTCTCAGGTCTAAGTAACGTGACATTGTATGTTTGTTCTAGAAATATATCAAAGTCTTAAATGCATTATAAGATCTGGTGGCAGATGTAATGAACATGATGAATACTGATGAACAAAAAATGGTATTTCATAGTATCTGGAACAGAACTAATATTATGTGAAATTATCTTTAATTTCTATTGTTTACAAACTCACACATCCTGCTAAATTACTGTGATTTTCTGTTTAATAAGTGAAGGTTAGGCTAAAGTTCATTAAGAGAATAGTAAGAAAATGAAAATTACTCCTTCTTTTTCCTCATCCATTTTCCTTGAATCCCTGAATTCCATCTGTGGACCCAATTTAGAACTTTTTGTGTGTGTGTCGAGGGGAGCAAGGTAATTAGATTTATTTATTTATTTTTAGAGGAGGTAGTGGGGATTGAACCCAGGACTTCATGCATGCTGAGCATGCACTCTGTCACCTGAGCTATACTCTTCTCCCAATTTAGAACTCTTGAATTGAGGAATTGAGTAGAACATCGTGGTATATGAGACCATAATCATGGTTTTCTATATTTGTTCATTTTTCATAGAGGCCTCTTTATGATGAATAACTCTAATCCAACTTTTCATTCATTCACCAAATATATCAACTAACTTTAAGACACTGGGCACCAGGCATATGTTAGATGACAGACAAACCTCTGTCTTCATGGAGTTTACATTTCTAGTGGAATATATAATTGGTTATAGTGTAATCTAGGTGTATCACTATCCCTGGACAAATAACTGAAACTGCTTATCTTTCTGATAATATTATTACTTTACTTGAAACAGAACTTGAAAATTTTTTTATTATGAAAGTAGTATTTATTTTTTAAAAGATGTAAGAAGATTGATAGGCAGAAAAGAGAAAAAGAACAGTACCCTTTATTGTGCTAATCAGAAATAACCACTGTAAACACCTTGGTGTATGTTTCATCTCTTTTCTATAACATATGTATATTTAAGTATGTATGATTTGTTTATAAAAATTTAATTGTATTATAAAAACATGTACAGTTTTCATTTTTATTTGTCAAGTGTTTAATTTTAATGGCTATAGAATATTCAATTTTATGAAAATACCATAATTTGTAACCTTATTTTCTGTATTTTGCTATTAAAAAAAAACCTTGTGTTAGTTTCTTGTAGCTAAATCTTACCACCTTTAATTATTCCAATAGTCTGTTATGAATAATTTTAAATATATGAAAATTTTGAAAGAGTTTTAATATACCCATTAAGTAGATTGCATAATTAACATTTTAGTATGCTTTCTTTACTACATATCTATCCATTTATCCATACATCTTTAATTTTTTGGTAAATATTTAGAAGCTGAGTCATACAATTTTCAGGCAAATTTTATAAACTTTTTTTATTCAGGCTAAGTAGCCCTTCAATAGGATTTTTAGTACTAATTTACACTCTTACCAGTGGTGTATCAGCACACTTGAACTTTTGCCAACACTGGGTTTTATTGTTTTCATGTAACTTTTTAGATAATTTTTGCTATATAAGTTTTTACAAAAGCTTCTTATTTTATCTGTAAGATAACTCTCTTCATATCTAATACTCATAAAACAACATTTACTTATAGTTTGCTTTGATCATCTATAGTGTTGGTTTTAAAAAGAAATGTATGTAATTTGTTCTTTGTGATACTTAATGTTTTTTAAGGAGAATATTTTACCTGTTCAGTAACTATTTAAGGTACCTTTGAGATTTCAATCAGGAAATCACTAGTCCTTTTTTCTTTTTTCAGTTTATGCAATAAGTGTGTAAAATAAGTATCAACTAGAATATTGGCTATAGCATATTGAGTCTTTTTTCTCTTTCACAGAGTAAATTAGCTGATGGAGAAAAATGATTTATTGAGGCAGTCAGAACTAGAAGTAGATCTCATTAATTAAATATTCATTCATTCACTGGTCCTTTGTCTCACTTCTTGGACCTTTGTTTTAGTCCTTGGACTTATGTCCCACTCAGTCTAATAGTATGACTGATAAAAAGACTCAGGAGAAATATACAAATTTGGAGTGTTAAGGAATCCAGGCACCTAGGTGGGCATATAGTGTGAGGCAGTTGAAGCAAGGAAATAAGTAGAAGGTGAAAAGGCTTACCAACACTATTTTAAATTATAGTTTGCCTACATTCTTTTTTATTTTAAAAGCTATTTATAAACAATTATTTAACTTTAGTATGGTTATTTTAAAAACTATATGGAAATCCCACTAGAAATATGTTACCTTTGTTATTTTCGGAGCATTCAGCCAAATCTCTTTGTTTACAGCTGGGCTCAAAGTGCAGAGAACTCAAAGATATTCATTTCGGCCAGTGTTACAAGATCTCAGATGAAGGCATGATCGTCATAGCTAAGGGCTGTCTGAAATTACAAAGAATATACATGCAGGAAAACAAATTAGTAAGTACTTGTTATCATCCTCATGTTTTTCATTTTGTTTCTAACTCTTGAATTCCTTGTAACTTAGCTTATAAATTTTTCTCTGCTTATTTTCATTTGGTGGTCTAGAGGCAAGTCATACTTAAAAGCAAGAATCTTCTCAAAATAATGATTTTATAAGTTGATTTGTAACTGTATAGGTGCTTGTGTTACTTGTGTGTTAAAAATTCTACATTTGCATATGCTAGTATGTTTTTTCCTAAACTCTGACAGTGGAAAAAATTAATTGGAAAAAATTAAATTTGGTTGCCAAAGAAGCATGTGGTTGTCGTTCCTTCTGATTACCTTAGTGATTGTAGTAATTATAGGTAGTTTGGAATTTTTAATATTCAGGAAGATACACACTTGTGAAATAGAGCCTTTCACTTAGTATGGTATAAAATGGGATTCAATAAATTGAGGCTGATAATCTTGGTACTTTTTAGGTAGTTTTTATAGTTTTATAGTTCTTAGGTTGTTATGTAGGTTTTCTATTTTAAGCACATGTGTATGTAACTCATTTCACATGTATTGTGTTATATAAATATATTTAAAGCCATGTAGTTTTCTTTTATTGAGATATACTTGACATATCATAAAATTCACATTTTTTAAAGTGTACAATTAAGTGTTTTTTAGTATATTCATACAGTTGTGCAATCATCATCACAAAGTCCATACCAATTTCATTACCCCAAAAAGAAACCCTGTGCCCATTAGCTGTCACTCTTCAGTCTCCCTTCCTCCAGCCCCTGACAACTGGTAATCTACTTTCTTTTTCTATGGATTTGCTTGTTCTAGTCCTTTCATATAAATGGAATCATATAATATGTGGTCTTTAATGTCTGCCTTCTTTAACTTGCCAAAATTTTTTCAAAGTTCATTCATATTATAGCATGTATCAGAGCTTCATTCCTTTTTATGGCTGAATGATAACTCCAAATCTGTTTAATTTTTATTTGAAAGGTCTATAGTACAGGTTAACAGAAAAGTTGTCACTAGGGAGGCACTAATAGTGTTCTCAATGTTGAAAAATAGTGTATATTAAAATGTAGGCAAGGTGACCCTGGATATGTAGCATATTTACAAAGAAGTCTTGCTTTTTAGTGGTATCCACAAAATAAAGACACTTTTCTGTTGCCCTTGAGTTACTTTACAAAATTTGATAAATACATCTTATATATTTAAGTTTTGAAAATCTCTAGAAGCTTCAGCACTTCAAATGAGAAACTGCTTTTAAAAAAAAAGATTGCAGTTACAAAAATTGAACCACTGTGAAATAAAAGTAAATGCTTTTATTACCACGTAAAATTATATTTATAGAATTATATTTTCCTCTGAAACTACATAGTAAAAATATTTCCCATTCCACTTTACATTTAATACAAATTTAATAATCACATTTGAGGCAGTATGAACTCATGGAGAGAATAAGATCTTTTGGATCAGAGAGAGTGAATTTTTAAATCCTGGTATCCACTTGCATTGTGACTTTGGGAAAGTTGCTTAAGATCTCTGAACCTCTTTTGCAAATGAGGTTATTAGTATTTGTATTTTTGCAGGTTGTGGTTTTGAGGATTAAATGACATAATGTCTTTAAATTGCCTTGTATAAACTCTGACTTGTAGGAAACCATAAAAAACTAGTAGCTTTTATGAGATCTTGACTTTATTTGTTGTCCATTGGCTTCCACTTTACACTCAAGATAAAGGATGGTAATCCCAATTTATAATTTTTATATTCCTCACATAAAGGGAATATTTGTTGAGTGATTAGTATTTGTTTTCTTGTTGAGTAAACACAAGAGAAACTTTTTTCTTGACATATTTAATTTTTTGGTCAGTGGTTTCCCAAAGGAATTAATTTTGTTTTGAAGGTTCTAGTTATATTCTAATTTCTTCTATATTGCAGTCCATTAGAAGGATGTTATATACTTAAATGCTAAGAGAATCAGTATGTAATGTTACTCAGTAAACATTTTGATTTCATTGCAAATTTGTAAGTAATTTTGATAAATCTTAAGTGAAGTTCAATTCAATGAAATTCTTTCCATTTAATTTCTTAGAAAGGAAAATTTAGAATAATTTGAACTCCTTCTGCTGGACAATTGAACTATTGATAACTAATTTTCTGTAGGAACTTTGTATTTTTAGAATTTATGAAATAAGAAATACTTAAATTACTTGCAAAGCTACAGTTTTAAGTAGTTCGGGTTTTTTTCACTCTGAGATGTAATATTCTTAGTCCTTTAACAACAAATATTTTAAATAGGGTAAGTAGCAATAATAGCCTGGTTAAAGGCAAATAATAGTTATATATACATATATATAAAATTATACTGCATATGTAATTATAGACAGGAAATAATAAACATCATTAAATAGGATAAATATTTTACAATAGCAACTAATAGGGATACTTAGGAGAATATTGTGTCTGAAAGGATGCCACAAGAACTTTACCTGTACAGATATTGATCATTAGCCAGATTATTTTGCTAATTCTCTAATCAATCATCTCAAAAAGAATTTTCTCAAAAGAGTATTAGAGCTTTATTGTATAGCTTAAAGATAATCATAGCATAGTGTTTTTTTTTGTAAGTATAAACTTTGCTGACTTTAAAATACCACATTGGTTTTTTTTTTATATACATTGACAGTATTTCACCGAGTATACATTTTTTCATATTTTATCTTGGCCTTTAGATGGCAGCATTGTCTTTGTATATTTCAGTGACATAGCTTGTGTGTCTTTGATGTAACTATAAAGATAAAATGCTTGTACAGAGTTTCTGCAGGTATTTATGGTTTATTTTTAATTTTGTTCTTTAGGTGGCTTTAATGGGAAATTTTCTTTAAAACTATGAAGTATTAGTTGTATCTAGAATGTTACAAGATGAACTTGCTGTGTTACACGAAGTAGCAAGATATTTGAACATTCTTATTTGTGGCACCATAAGTAAGGTAAACTTTAGAACAGGGAAAGTATTCCTGTATTTATCAGACAGAGTTTTATTCAGAGAGAAAGTGAGGACAGTGACTTGACATTGTAGGACTCAAAGGATTTATGGTGAGACAAAGAATTGTGAACTTACATGTAAAACCTTCCCTCCAGAGAATGAGATTTTGTTTTAGTCATTTTTGAGTGGGACAAGTGCCATGCACCTACATGGATGTATTTTGTATTTGCTGTAAAGCTGTTGTGTAGACTATAAAAAAAGATCTGAGGAATACAACAGTAGTGAGAATCTAGTGTATTGTGCACAACTGTCTGTCTTCTTTTAGGTATAGCATTTATATCACTTCTGTATGGTACTGGCTATGAAATTATTTTAAAGCCATATTTAGTTTGTGTGTATAGTTACTGATGATCTAGAAATTTTATTATAGATATCTCTCTGCTTCTTTGCTCTCCTTGCTTCAGATTCTGCTTTTTGGACAGAACCTCTTTGGGCAGCTTTTTATTTGGTTGTAGAATGGGAGTCAGATGGGTTATCTGTCATTTGTTACCCACCTTGATGTTTCAAAGTACTAGAATTTTATCATTCTGAAAATGGCTTCTATGCTAAGTCCTGGAGTTAACATATTTGATATAGATCTGTATGTGTTACGTTTATTTGTCTTTTTTTTAAACACCTACTCTGTACAGTTGTGAAACTAGGATAGATTTCTGAATTACCCAACAAAATAGTAATGTATTATGAATAGATTTTAAAAAGTGTAGGGAAATTATAAATGTTTTCTGGTTAAAACTTGATTTCCTGACAGATAATTGTGACCCATTATTTTTTCAGACTCCTGGTGAATCGATTTTACTAGTTTTACAATTCTGTGCCATCTTCCAGAGTCCTTTGGCTCCTGCTGTAACCTTATTTATATCATTGTTTCTTTACTGTTTTTAATTTTATTATTGTTCGGGATGCTTACATGTGTGAGGTAGGATCTAAATTCACCTCTCTAGCTTCCTTCTTCCAGGCTGGTAGCATTTTAAGGGATGAATGAGGCAAACACTTAAGTTTGAGTTGAATTGAGCTCAATTTATACCTTAATCCTACTGTTTATTAATCATGTGATTGAGTTAGTTAATTTTTGTACTTTCATTTCCTTGTTTACAGAGAGGATATAATACTACCTTAGACACGTTCCTTTGCGGATCAGACTAAATGAGATTGAGGTAAAATACAAAATGTATGGTCCCAAACAAAGGAAGTCTTTAATTAAAGGTTTTTTTTCTTCCTCTCCATATCAGAGTTTACTTTCTGGAGTCTACCAGTTTGAATTGGCTGTGTCAGTGCCTGGTATCATTTACTATGTTCTGATTTCATCTGTTAGTTACCCACAGTTTAATTCTTTTTTACTGCTTGCTGTGATTTGAGGTTGTTGCAGCAGCTAAGTGAATAGACTGGTAGACACGTTATCATCGACTAGGGTAAGTAAGGTAAATATTTGCATCATAGCTTGAATAGCAGTAACTAATTCAGCATTATATGAAGGCTTACATTTTCTGGCTCTTTTACCTTTCAACTTAGAATTAATATATTAAGGAATTTGGTCCCCATTAACCCCCAATTCTTCCTGTTATTTCTCAAATACTCCTTGTGAAGTGAGTTTACTTGTAATCCCAGACATAAATAATATACATTTCTGAGGGATACCATTTTGTAAGTACTCACTTCAGCCTCCAAAAGCTCCCAGGATATATATTTGCCTTCATTGCCCTTTGCTCTCATAGTTGATGAGGCATTTACTTACACCCAGAGTGGTAGTTTCCAGTAAACAGTCATGCATGAATGTAGCATTCTAAAGAAGGTGATCTAAAGTTAACTGAACTTCATCTTATTATTGTATACTACATTTCAGGATTTTGTGGCATTTGTTGATATTTGAAAATACTTAATAATAGATATCTCCTTTGAGTGTTTGTAATGTTCTAGACACTATGTAGTTTTACATAATTGATTCTCATAACCACAGTATGAGGTA